CACCACCATCACCACCACCACCATCACCACCATCACCACCATCACCACCACCACCACCACCACCATCACCACCATCACCACCACCACCACCACCACCACCACCACCACCACCACCTCCACCAGGCCTTTGCTGTCTGCTCCCTGTTCCCTCCAACAGCTCACCTCCTCATGCTGCCGGTTTTTTCTCCTTGCAGCTCTGAATATTCCATGCCTCCCTCCCCCCGTCCCCCCGTCCCCCACTCCTGTCACCCTAGTCATTGTGCAAACATTTCTTCATCCCCCGGGGCCGTGTGTCCCAGCCTTCCCAGCTGCCTCTGCCTGCCTGCGGCTGCTCAGAGCACCGCGTGCCACACTGGTGGTCATGTCCACGGTTGCAGTTAACTGCGGCATGGCATGCGCTGTTGGTAGGAGCTCTTTGAGCACAGGCTTGTTGGTAGCCTCCTCCTCCTCCTCCTCCTCCTCCTCCTCCTCCTCGGCTCCTCCCGCCATGTTCGGCACTTAGTAGTCGCCCAGGAAATGTCTATCAAGACGGTGAAGAAATGAAAGTAAGCGGATCCAGCTCCGCGTGGCCCCTGGCTGTGGTCATTTTCAACGCCGTGATTGGAGGGACAGAAGTATGGACGTTATCATCACACAGAGTTGTTTGCTTTGCCTTCCTCCTTTGTAAGTCAGACCCCAGATCCTGTTGACTGTTACTGGGAAATGGATCTTGGGTGGCTGCTTCTCCTATATCCTGTTCCGCCTACAGGGTCTTCCTGTTTCTATGTGGGCTTCTCCAGTGTGCCTCGAGGACCACTCCCTATGTGTCTGAAGTAGTGCTGCCCTAATCTACCTGGGCTCCAAAACTTGCCCTGTGGAGCCCAGAGAAAACACACTCCAGAGATCTGATCAGGGGTTCCGGGGTGAGATCTGGGAGTCTGCATTTTGCAAAGCCCTTGGGTAAACTTGTTCTCACTGGTGAATGCCACGGTTCTCAATGCACTGCTCTGCTGTGACCTTTGACCCTGCTCACACAACCTTCCAGGATTTCCTGTTCCTTACCCTAGGTAAGTGAGGGGTAGTCAAAGGCCTTTCCCATTTTTTTCAACCAAGTGGAGCTCTGGGGTCCAGACCTATTTATCAAGGTAGACAGACTCCTTCAAGCTACAAGTTCTCTTACTTTA